GCCCTATCATTTTTTAAAGTCTGTCTAAAGTTTATTAGTACACTTTTTAATGTGAAATGTTATAACACACCAAAATCCCAATACATCAAGAAAAAAAATTATCGATTTATTTACTGTATCTTCTTTATTAGTATCAAAATTCAAACATAAGTGCACATTTAGCTTTTTAAGAAAGTATGGAACAAATTTGAAATTATTTCATCACGTAAATAATATTCTTCCGGCCCCGAAAGCTAGACTCAGAAATACCTGTATGGTGTCCTGCGGGGTACCTCTAAGATTTTCTTAAGGCTAGATTAAGTTTTCCTTTTTTAAGAGTTATTTATCTTAATTAAAAGCGTTACAATGCTTTGCTTCCAATGTAATTCTTTACATCTCGTTTTTCATATTTTCATTTATTGTTTTAGATATTCCTTAAATTTTCTATTGTAATCATTATATCAGAATATGAATGTGACTGTGAAATAAATCGAAACTAAACAATTAAACATTTAATGTATATTAGAACGGTTGTTTTAATTAAGTTCATCATCTTTGTCTGCACTCAGGAATTTATAATTCAGTAAATACCTACCACAAACATAGCATATTTTTAGAATTCTTAATGATACATCTCATCGAAAGCATAACATTATAATGATTGTAAAAGATAATGTAACATACCGTACCTTTTGCAATCCGAACATATACTTTGTTTGATTGCATATAATACATATATGATATGCGGCAACTCGATATAAACATAAACATTGTTTTGATTTTGTATTGAAGAATTAAATTTTGTAGGTCTACTTGTGTATTTAATGAAAAAATATCTCATTGTTATTGTTATTATTTAATTACAGGCCATAATAATCTGTCAAATTCACAATGGTCAGTTTACATTCAATTTATCAGTGATAAGAAAGTCTTTTGGAGAGACTGCAAAGCTTCAAGAAAGAAATAATCTTTTTTTCTGCGTGGTTTGTCAAACCTAAGAGCTTGTCTGGGTTCCTTAGGTGAGTAGATATATCTTCTCTGTTAATGTAATGTTTCTCTTCCACAATAACCGGCGAGAATACAATGCCCATAAAGACATACCGGTAGTTTATTAAAAAAGGGTTTTCCATCCAGAATCGTCCTAATCGGGTCGGACCAATAAAATTTGCTTCTGACGCGCCTGAATTAAATTAATTTTAATCACTCAGAAGGCAACACAAACTTGTTACAAATAAACTGAATTTACAATAAAAAACGGAAGAAAATACAAGACATCAAACGGAATAAATGTATACCGGTACCTATCTAAAACACCGAAGTTTGAAAAACATTATAAGGCCTATAAATGAGTGTTTTTATGCAAATGAATGAAATGAACAAGCAGTCTGGGGTTCTAATGAGCTCCAATTTCATCATTTCTTTTTACATGTATATTTATTGTTTCATTGAATTGAATTGGTTGTTAGTGTACGTGTTCATGAAGTATGATTCAAAACAAACAGCTTTCATTAAAATATGTTTGTTTACAAATCTTTGAGTTATACGTTTGTACTCTTCCAGTCTGAAGCCGGTTTTACACCAGGCGAATTTGAAGGAGGTCAAACTACTAATTCGCTGAAGCAAAAACAGATTCGCGCGAATAAATTCCTTTGTGTAAAACGGCTTAACAAATGGTTTTCTTTAAAATATTTTTGTTGTATTTTATCATCATTGACTTTGTCATCGTCAACATCACCATCGACATAAAATCGATACATTTTTCTGTTAATAAAAGACTACAACACAAAGAAGTGATTATTACCTTGGTGTAAAATCTGTTTATTAATGCTTATAAAATCACAGCATTAGGGAAAAATAAAGAAAACAATCTGAAACTATATAACTGCAAGAGTGATAATCGATGTTAAATGCCCATGTATGATAGAAGGTAAAAGCACTGTGTATCAAGCATAAAGCTACTAGCTATAACATATTCTTATTATAACTCTTTCATCAAGTCAAAACAAATATTCCTCCTCCCAGTCCCTTTAAAACTGGTGTAATAATACTAATAATTTTCACGGTTCAGTAAAACATGGACGATGTAACTTGACAATATTATATTATCTTTAAAAATTTTGTTTTACCTACCGTACTGTATTTAGTAAATATCCAAAATATATTATTTTAAAGTTTAATGTTTACATTGTAAATATTCAAAAGAAGTTACTTTAATAAGGAGTCCGTATCGAAAACAGAATCATTCACAGTACCCAGAAGTGCAGAGCGTTTATGATGTCTAAGTCCTATTTAATAAATTCCCGTTTAGTACTCAAGATATCACACAACTAAGCCGGGTACACACTGACTTGGAGAGGGCCACAGTCCTTTGAGCAGTGACTTAACCCCCATGAGCTCTCACTGGCTATTGGCATGTTTGCCCGAGCTAGTGAATTTAATGGAAAGAACATATACAAAAATATCAAAATACTCATACGTTGAAATCGTGAAACGAACGAGGGCTTCGCTCAGTACCCCACATCAGCGGTGGCGCCAGAAATATGCCGACAAGGGGTCCGACGTTTCCGACGGAGGGGTCTGAACCAAGGTGACGACGAACCTGTTAAAAAACTGTTAGGGTTTACAGAGAAGGTTTTTATGGCTTAGTTTGGTCCTACAAGATATTATACCCCTCCCTGGTGCCACTACTGACAACATTGGGCTTTGCGTGGCCCCCAGGCTAGGGCATGAAGAAGCTTTAGTCACCTCGACCTCGCAGAGATAGATTCGTCAGCCGCCAATCATGCGACGTAGTGTCCCCGGCTTTACGGAACACCTCTCGCTTGCTCATGAAATATGCATTACATTTTTTCAAACTTTTAAATGGGGAGGTCTCGCAACCTTACGAAGACGATAACGAATACGAATACGTAATTATCATTATCGTCATTCATGACTAAAACTTTCTTGACAATATGCTGTGTGTGCTGCATGATCATTGACTCATGCAAAAGGCATTAATTTCATAACAGGTATGCTACTGGGGAGTTGCCTAAAAATTTGATGGCTTAACCGTTCTTTATGGTTTTCGAATGCTTGCGAAATATCCATAATGTTTGTGTACAACCATGGTGAGTAAATATTTTCCGCTGCCGACGGATTTTCTGAAAACAGTTACTTTAACAACATCAGAAATAACACTTAGTTCGTTTCAAATAGGGTCTCCAATCATGGAGTTATAAAATAACCCCGTGCTCCGTTTTTTGTGGTCTCGCATTAACAATTGTTTTTTATCTTTATTATTCTAATTATAGATCAAAGCTACTAGAGATCATGGAAACCAGTCCCAAAAGTGGTCTTTAGTTGGAGGGAGACCTCTGTATAATAATAATAATAATAATAATAATAATAATAATAATAATAATAATAATAATAATAATAATAATAATAATATCCTAATGATATAATCTTGATGAGCAATTTTGCTAAAAGCCTCAATGCATCAAAAACTTTACAAATTAAAATGCAATCCTAACATTATTATTATTATTATTATTATTATTTATTATTATTATTATTATTATTATGGTGGTGGTGGTGGTGATGACGGCGGCGGCGGCGGCGACGACGATGAACACTTGGGGCATATTACATTAATATATAACAGAAAAAAAAGCGACTTGAGTGGCCGTGTGACAAGGCAAGTGCGCCGCTACAGCCTTAACATAGGCACTGGTTCGAGCAACTCCTCGCCCAGGGTTCGGTTGGTATCTAAAGGGCTTAAAATGGTGTACACATCCTGGAACATGTACACTTTAAAGAACTCATTAAATCTGTCGGAAGATTGGGGGTACCCCGATGCCATGGTTCACTTCTAAGCCCCTATCGTTTTAAAATGATGTGAACTAAGTGCCCCTCAATAATATACGGCTGCTAATATAATGTAGACCACGCCATAGGCCTATGCTATTGAGAAAATTGACTCTGCTGACAATTTAATTATATAGAAGTTATCTTTGACTTTAGAATAATTGGTTGAAACGAAAAAACAACAAACCACTGATGATGATAATATCAACCTAGAAGAAATTGGTATTTAGGAATATATCCATTCAACTACATACGATCTACCCTTCGTCACTAAAACCGGTAAAATATCCTGTACGGTAATTTACATTGTTAAGACTGCATAATTGGCACACTCACAATTTCTATGTATCCAGCTAGGCTAGGAATATTAATAGCATTTAAATCCTAATTAATTAAAATGTGTACTAAACTGGAATATCTTGATCCCCTTATATTCTCTTATAAAATACTGGCACAAGGAATAATACGTTGGGTCTAGGTAGTTTTATCATTTACTGCACGGGTAATTAGACGAACCTAGTTTTTCTTAACTGTTCAACACGACTCAAAGCTAACATCACTCATCAATGAAACATCGAAGTCTAAACACACATAACGCTCTACCACAAATTGACTATCAATCCGTGATATACTAATATCGCTTACATTCACACTAAATGTTCTAGTGGTAATAAAAAGTCGGCCAGAATCAAACTCATTACATTCTTTGAAGTAGTTGAGGTAATTATTGTTATAGTTTCTCAGTTGAAAAAAGGCGTTTATTCGTTGCTGCATACAGTATAGTTCATTCATCATGCAAACATCTAGGATTCGACGTGATGAATTGTTGTACAAATGGAGGGAAAGAAAGAAAAACACCATCAATAACAAGAGACAGATCAACGATAAAATGACAGAATAGACAAATTTCACTTTCTTGTTAACAAAAAGTAAAGTTAGATCAAAAATTAGGCCAAATAAAATAAATTGTTTGTTTGCCCTTCTTTTTTAAAAGATAATAAATAGGGGCGGGTGGAAAAAGTTTTTTTTAAATTTATTTTTCTTTAAATACTCATATTAGATGGAATAAAAATAACCCACAGATGCCTAGAATGGCAATATTTTACATCAGACAACAACTTTAGACTAAGATGTAGGGCATCTGGCAAAATAAAGATAAATCCACTTTTAAATTTTTTTTTTGTTTTTCCACCCCTAATTTTTTTTTAGTGAATTAGTGGCGGTTGGAGGAGAGAAATCAATTTGGTTTTTTGGCCTTATTTTGGTGTAATCCCAGGTTCAAGAAGGCGTATTCTAACTCTGCTTTTCATTCATTGTTAGACAGCTTTAACACAGACAACGGAGCTTCGTAGGCCTATTCTTTAATCTACCATAATGCCCTATGGTGATGTAATACGGTAATGATAATACAGTAGTAATGATAAAGACAAATGGTAATTATAATAAGGATGATGATCCCAGGGCTGTAATCGGACTCATCCATAAATAGACCTAAAAATATTGATTTAAAATAATTTCCAACTTAATTAAAATTAAAAAAAAAAAAAAACAAAAAAAAAAAAAACACCGGCCAGCTGGTTTCTCAATGTTATTCGGTTTTAAAAGAGTAATTATTGATTACTGTGTTGATTTCAATACAGTGCCCCAGCCGACCCGACCCCCTTTTTACAAAATTATAAAAATAGAGAAAATGAAATCATATTAATTATATTATAAGTATGAGAGTGCCATTTCCGGCCATCTAGAGATGCTATAATCACAAACTTTTTACCTCAGCTGAGGTGGTCTACATCCTCCGCCTGTAAAAGTCCCTCCCATGACCCTCTATTTCGAATTCTCAGATCTGCCAATGCAATTGCTTAATTTTACGTGCCGCCAAATGTTTTGTTTATTTTAGAACAGCTGCTGAGACCGAATATGGCCCTCTTAAAATAGTTACAAATCCGAATTCATTAGTACCTATAACTAACCTAGGCCTTTAGGAGTAGGGAGTAAAAGAAGCAATTCTTAATAATTAAAATATACAAAATAAATAAATAAATAAATAAAATAAAATAAATAAATAAAATAAAATAAAATAAAATATAAATAAAAAAATAAATAAATAAATAAAATAATAATAATAATAATAATAATAATAATAATAATAATAATAATAATAATAATAATACAAAATTATCTTCAAACTCTTAAGTATTAATGTAAATTAATGCCGTTATACATTGAGCGATTGAGCGACTATAATAATTATTTAAAAAAAATGGACAGAAAATCCTAACTACGATTGCAACCTGGGTCTTTATAATTATTAGGACAACATACGCCTGAACTTTATCTTCAAATATTTGTTTTGCAATGGAATGTGTATATTGCTGAGAACATTGTTGGAATGAATTGTTAAGAATGAGAATATAACTGGTTGCATCTAACAAAAGACCAGTAATTTCTTTTATTCTGTAGCGAATGAAAACTAGCAATACATCATTATAATCATTAACTATCCGGTGCTGTCTTTTTTGGTATCTCTGTACTGGTTCCACTTTGAGGTATATTCTCCGACGATGATGGCGCTTGCTCTTTAGTAACGGAGGTAGATTGTTGTGTCTGTGTAGTACTTGGTGTGCGAACATCTCCCTGCCCTTCAGAAGTTGATCCGGCAGCCTGACCTGCAGTAGGGTGCGCATGTACAGGCTCATGGTGACTTTCTGAGCTACTCTCATCGGAATCTGATGAGGTGTCAACGGGAAGCCAAAAATGGCTGCGGTTGTCAATCACGTGACGAAATTGACGCATTATACGATTGCCAATCGAGTTATAAGGTTCCGACATCACCTGTAGAAATAAAAATATATATATTTTTTTGTTTTGAATAAAAATTTTAAAGGCCAACAATGTATATACCTATTGGGTTACTTACCAACTTTGAGAATTGAAGCGGAGTGGAGAGCGAATAGGGTTGGGGTGAGAGAAGTGGTGTAACGCTATGCACTCACGTGCTCTCTTATACACATCTAGATGTGTATAAGAGACAGTTTTTCCACCCCTAATTTTTTTTTAGTGAATCCTATAGGGTCCTCGATCTAGTACCCTGACCCAAAAGAGCCTTGTCGACCTACATAACAGCATAAAGTGTCTCTGACATCGACTGTAAGTGTCATATTATATCCAGTGGCGGGTTAAACGGGCCCCTAAATTTGTCCAAATTGAAGACAAACGAAGGAAAATACAGTATATACAGTATTCAAATTTCAAGTCTTTGAGTTCCTCGATTACCTCCACTTCAATTTCTGTGTCCCGACCAAACACAAGGAATGCTTTGTACAACTGCTTCTCAACAGTGGAGTGGACGCCTCGGCTTTGGATTGGTCCTATATGTTCCAAATTTAAGCGGTCTAGCAACTCTTGTTTTACGGTAACCACGTCACTACCACTATCAACCATAAACTCTGAAAAAGAAAAATCAAAGTTTCTAATAAATCCACTTGTCATAATTTCTGATTTTTTTTCCGTATTTGTAATGTTTCATATTGTTAATTGTTTTGCCAGAATGAATAAAATAAATAAATAAATAAATAGAAGATTTATGTATTAATCACGTTACGATATATCCTGCCAATATAAACAGTTTAATTAATAATCATTTAATTTAAGTCGACGGTCGTAAAAAAAAAGAAATATTAATAATCATATTCGAATAATCCCGATAATTTTGTCTAAAAATAAATGTATGAGAATGTACAAGATGATAATAAGTTTGAGCGATGTTGATATGAGATACAAATCATTAAAGTAATACGATAACCCTGATGATGGCCATATTGAGAAAGATATGTAACAGGATACGAATATTGTAGAGTTAAGATGATACAGTATGTAATTTCATTACTCTATTACAATACCTTCTTCGAACGTCGGGTCTTCTGGGTGCCGAGACTTTATAGTTGCTTGAACGCACAAAAACTCATAGTTAGCGCCCTCTAACGCACGTGGTCGTCCCCAATATCCAATAGCAATTATATTTTCTGGAAGCCATTCAAACTTCTGTCTTTTTCGCAATTTCTGAACTAGAAAAGACACAAAATATAATTAAATATAATGTTAATAAATAAACTTATGTACAAGGTTAATAA